GTGGGCTGACACTCACTTCACAAATTTCCCACTTAACAACAGAAATTCGGGCCTCCATTGTGGTCGTAAGTCAGACTGCCTGGTACTGACATCCTTTGTTAACAGATAACAGATAGTCAGAGTTGGAAGGGACCTTGGAGGTCATCTAGTCCAACTTCTCCGCCCAAGCGGGAGACCCTACACCATTTCTGACAGATGGCAGTCCAGTCTCTTCTTGGAAGCCTCCAGTGATGAAGCTCCCACAACTTCTGAAGGCAACTCCTGTTCCATGGGCTGATTGTTCTCACTGTCAGAAAATTCCTCCTTATTTCCAGGTTGAATCTCTCCTTGGTCAGTTTCCATCCTTTATTCCTTGTCTGGCCCTTCGGGTGCCTTGGAAAATAGCTTGACCCCTTCCTCCTCCCTGTGGCAGCCCCTCAAATATTGGGAGATGCTCTCCTGTCTCCGCTGGTCCTTCTCTTCTCTAGACTAGCCAGGCCCAGTTCCTGTAACCATTTTTCATATGTTTTAGTCTCTAATCATCCTGGTTGCTCTTCTCTGCACTTTTTGTAGAGTCTCAACATCTTTTTTATAGTTTGGAGACCAAGACTGGATGCAGGACTCTAGGTGTGGCCTTACTAAGGCTTCATAGAGTGGTATTAGTACCTCCCTTGATCTCAATTGTATCCCTGTTAACACAATTTAGGATTGCATTGGCTTTTTGGGCGGCTGCTGCACACGGCTGGCTCCTATTTAGCTGGTTCTTCTACAATACATTTATCCCATTTTGCCCAGACTGTGTGACCTCAAGTCTAGTAAGCCCCGATTTCAACATCAGAACCACAGTTCCACCCACAGGTGGTCCACCCCGAATCAACATGACCAATTCGGAAAATTCAGTAAAAGGCTGCAGGGTATGAAATTTGCAGTAAGATTTCCCCAGATTTTGAAAGTAACCTTTGGGTATTTCGTGGTGAAACAAAGCATTAAAATTTCCAGAAGCTCAGCAAAAAAAATGCATGTTTCCTCTCATCGACTTCTGCTCTTCTCTATTATTATTTTTTTTAATCCTGAGCAGAGTCACGTATCAGTGTAAGGTTTATGTGCAACACAGAATGCAAAAAGTCTGTGGAGGTTCTCAGCCATCCAGGTCTTGGTTGTCCCAAAGGTGGTTTTTTTTCAAGAGGCACCTGGACTTTCTGTTTTTTTTTGTTTGGAAGATGTTTCGCTTCTCATCCTAGAAGCTTCTTCAGCTCTGACTGGATGGTGGGGAATGGAAGGATTTGTATTCCTTGCAGACACAGCTGGTCATTTGCATCCTTTTAAGAGAGTCATTGAGGCCACTTGGAGGTTTGTGTTCTTAGAGTCAGCTGATTGTTGGAACAGCTGATCGTCCGGAGGGAAAAAAAGAAATGAAAAAAAGAAATATCAGTTTGGCCGAACCATAGAAGGGTGGAGGGGGAGGGGATTGTAGAGGGTGTAAACGAGGATTCTGAGGTGCTTGTGCGATGGTGGTTATGTTATTGTGTGGGATGTGGGGCAAACGGGATGCTGGCTTACAGGGTGGGTCTGGATATTGACAGTGCGGCAATTAGCTAACTAGTGTTCTGACCCACACCCTTTCCCAACAAATCAAACACAATTCAAAAAGAACAGAAACCTTTTAGTGCTTCTGCAAAATAATTAGCCGTGATAAGCACGAGCCTTGCCACACTGTGCGAGACTTGCCAAAAGATAACAGGCAAGAAATAATTTGCCAAATAAGAATCTTCAAACACAAACTCAGGATACTGGAATGTCCACGAGGCTGGAGTTTCAAAACGTCTTTGCCTTCTGCAAAGAAGGTCCGTTTCACAGCTGGCTTTGATCTTCTTGAAGGAGGGGCCATTACCTTGCAGCCTTACTCCCGAGTCACCCGTGCTGTTGCAGCTGCTCTTTCCTACGAGTAGCCCTTGGCACAGGCTCCTCGGGAACCTCCTCATCGCTGCTGCCAGCCCCCACAATCTCCGAAGGCAGCACTCCACTCCCTGATGGTCCTGGCTCCTCATCTGAGTCCTCGCTCTCCTCAGCCGTCTGCACCTGCTGCTGGCTAACCACAACTAACTAAATGGGGCTCTGAGATGGCAGACGCTCAGAGCTGACTTTAATCAGATGTTCTCACTACTTCTCGTTGTCTCTAACTGCGAAGGAATAAAACCTCTTGCCAGTTTACTTGGACTTGTTTATTTTCTCATCAGCATGCTGGCTAGAGAGTAGCTGAGAAGGGGTTGCTTAGATGGGGCCTGCAGGGCCACCTGGAAAACAGCAAAGGACTGGCCCGTGGAGCCTCTGCCAGTGAAAATGGAATAAAAAATTTAGCTGGCAGAGTTTCTCTGGCCACCACAGGCACCCTCCGACATACGTGACGTTGAGCTGGTGACGGCTCCCCATGCCCCTGGTCAAATACCACCCCAATGTGGCCCTCAATGAAAACGAGTTTGACACCCCCTGCTGTATATGGATTATTCATTTCCGTCAGCTGGAGAGAAAAAAAATCAGAATGTTTTGGCCCCTTTGTGCCATCTAGTGACAGAAGGAAGAATTACAAGCACGTACAGACCAGCATGGCAGTTCCCTTGGCACGTCTTTAAGTTTCCTGGACTTCATCTCTCATCATTCTTAAGGGTTTGCTGCAAATTTGGGTATGGTTCCAGGTTAAATCAACCTCCACAGGCTGAAGATTGAATGGCGAAGACTCTAATGATGTGAACGGTTGGAGGAAAGAGGAGGACAATGAGCAGCGGGGGTTAGACTAGAAGACCTCCAAGGTCCCTTCCAACTAAGTTAGTCTGTAAATGTCACTTTGGTTACATGAGTAATGAGGAAACTCTTGAAGGACCCGGTTAGGGAGAGATCATCGCGGAGAAAATCGATGTGGGGACTGCCAAGAATCGAAAATGTCTTGATGGCATTCAATCAATCAATTGATCAAAGCAAAGAAAAGGGTCGTTTACTGGAGCCCAGAACAAAAGATCAACAAACCCCCACTCAGTTCCTTCGTTTGAAAAAGGACTCAGGAGGATAATGCTATTTTCAGAAGAAGGAAGCATCCATAGGATTTCCAATTGTTCATTTTGCGGAAATATGAAATTATTGTTTTTATTTACTTGTATCCCGCCCTTATTGTTTTTACAAATAAGTCAAGGCAGTGAATATACTGTATATCCAACACTTCTTCCTCCTCCTATTTTCCCCACAACAATCCTGAGCGGTGGGCTGGACTGAGAAAGAGGGGCCGGGGCTGGCCCAAAGTCACCCAGCCGGCTTTCATGCCTAAGGTGGGACTAGAACTCACGGTTGCCTGGCGGTTGACCCAAAGTCACCCAGTTCACTTTCATGCCTGAGGCAGGACCAGAACTCACCGTCGCCTGGGTCTTTCATGGCCCAGAACTGGGCATATGAGCCATGAAATAACATTGCTAAGTATGTTTTTTTTCCCTAATTGACATGGATTTCCTTCCAAGATTATTACCTCACAATATTCAAGTGGCATTTTTTAAACTCTTCCTACCTCCACAAAACCAGCAATCAAGTCGATAAACTGGATGCGTTCCTTTGATTGAACTACCTCATCATTCACACCCACACACACACACACACACCCTGGCCGCATGTCCCTGCTGTAAACCCTGGAGGCTTGGAAATATACACCTTGCTTTATTTTTATTTTTAATCAGAGCCGGTATGGCCTAGTGCATGGGTGTCAAACTCACAATGTCACGGCAGCATCACGTTATCGGGACTCCCCCCCCGTTGCTAAACCGGGTGGGGTGGGGGCAGCACTTGAGGTATCCGGCCCGAGGGCCGCGAGTTTGACACCCCTGGCCTAGTGATTATGGCACCAGGTTAGAAACCAGAGAAGGTAAGTTCTAGTCCCATTTTGGCTAAGAAAGACAGCTGGATATCTTCGGGGCAATCACTAGGAGATGGTGAGTTCCAGTCCTGCCACAAAAGCCACCCTGTTTGGTGGGCTGGGCAGAGAGAGAGAGAGAGAGGAAAGAGGGGGAGGGGAGAGAACAGAGGGAGAGAGAAAGAGGGAGAGGGCATGAGAGAGAGGAGAGGGAGAGAAAGAGGGAGGGGGAGGGGGTGAGAAAGAAGGGGAGAGGGCATGAGAGAGAGGGAGAGGAGGGAGAGAGGAGGGGAGAGAGGGGGAGAAAAAGGAGAGAGTGGGAGGAGGGAGAGGAGAGAGGAAGGGGAGAGGGGAGAGGGAGAGAAAGAGGGAGGGGGTGAGTGAAAAGGGGAGAGGGGAGAGAGAGAGGGAGAGAGGAGAGAAAGAGGGAGAGGGCATGTGAGGGAGAGAGGGAGGGGCAGAAAAAGAGGAGGGGGAGAGAGAGAAAAAGAGGAGAGGGGAGAGAGGAGAGAGGGAGAGGAGAGGGAGGGGGAGAAAGAGAGGAGAGGGAGAGAAAGAGGGAGAGGGGGATGAGAAATGAGTGAGGGAGAGGGGAGAGAGGAAGGAGGGGAGAGGGGGGAGAGAGAGGGAGAGAGGAGAGAAAGAGGGAGAGGGCATGAGAGGGAGAGGGGGGGGAGAAAGAGGAGAGAGGGAGAGAGGAAGAGAGGGGAGGGGAGAGAGGGAGAAAGAGGGAGGGGAAGAGGGGGTGAGAGAAGGGGAGAGAAAGAGGGAAAGGGCATGAGAGAGAGGGAGAGGAGAGAAAGGGAGAAAGAAGGAGAGGGGGATGAGAGGAGAGGAAGAGATGAGAGAGGGAGAGAGGGAGGGGGAGAAAGAGAGGAGAGAAAGATTTTTCTTGTTATGGTGGAGGAAATAGCAGGAAATAGGAGCGTTGGGTATGTTCGCTGCTCCTCTCTCCCTCCCTCTCCCCCCTTCTCTCTCTCTCTCTCTCTCTCCCTCTCTCTGTATCCCTCTTTCCTCCCCTTCTCTCTCCTCCTCCCCGCTCCCTCCCTCTTTCTCCTCGGGCGGCCTTCGGGCCAGGGGCAAAAGTCCCGCGTTCCGGAACGGGCCGAGCGGAAATGAGGCAGCCGACGGGGGAGGGAGGGAGGGGAGAACCTTCCCCTTGCAAAGGCCGCCTTCGCCGCCGCCGCCGCTTGCAGGAAGGAGCCGCCGGCCTCCCCCGACTTCGCCCAGGCCGCCCCCCCACCTCGAAGCCCAGGTAAAAGCGCCCAGGGGGCGCGGGGGAAGGACGGTCCCCCCCCCCTTCCTCCGCCGCCGCTCGCCCAAAAGTTGCAGGCGGTTACCTCGGAATAACCCCGCTTTTCTTCAGCCCCCCCCCCCCGTCCCCCCGGCCTCGTGTTCTGGAAAAGGCGCGGGTTGCCCTCCCGTGTCGGGCGGTACATGCGAAGCGTGGAAGAGGGAGAGAGGAAAAGGGAGGTTAACGGAGGGGGGGGAGGTTTTCACTCGATTGGACGCCCTTAAGGGGACCCGCGACCCGCTGGGATTTTTTTTTTTTTTTAATGCAGGGGTTTCCAACTTGGGCCGCTTTAAGGCTCGCGGACTTCAACTCCCAGAATTCCTCAGCCAGCTTTGGAGACCCCTGGCTTAGAATAGAAGAGATGACCCTTCTGGTTTCTTCCAACTCTATTATTCATGCTGGCTGAGGAATTCTGGGAGTTGGAGTCCGCGAGTCTTAAAGCGGTGGAGACCCCTGTTTTCAGGCATTGATCAATGCGGGTTCATTACACCAGGGTCCCACAGACGCTCAAACGCGTGGCTGGAGCCGAGGCCCTCACGTGTGCATACAGGAGCCAAAACAGAGACTTTTTTTTAAAAAAAAAGAACCTGAACAATCCTGCAGAAATGCAGGATCGGAGTTGATCCTTTGCAAAGAGAGGGCCTTTTTTTTTTTTTTTTTGCATGGGTGACCAACTTCTAACCATCATCTAGAAACCGACCCTGGTTTGCTGGCTTGGAGCTTCACTTCCAGGCTTGGAAAGTCCCCAATCTGAGTTTAAGGCTTCTGATCTTAAATAGAAAACGCTGGGTTTCTTTTGTGACCACTTGCACTTAACCAAGATTGTGGCAGGGATCATCCTGGCTAGGGGTTTCTTTGGCCCCTTTGGCTGAAGGACCAAAGGGCAGGAAAGTCCCCGAGCTGAAGAGAAGTTGGCTTCTTTCTTTCTTTCTTTCTTTCTTTCTTTCTTTCTTTCTTTCTTTC